GCAAACTGCTTAGAGTCATCAGAGCTAAGAATTCAGTAAAGAACTATGGAATCAATAAGAAGAGTAGAAAGCCCAGAGAGCTGAGCTTATCTTTTAAGGGGCTGTTTTTCCCTATCTGCCAATTTCAGAAGCAGAAGCTGAGAGGATGAAAAGTTGAGAAATAATTTTGATAGCTTCAAAGGATTATAATATAAAAATAGAGTCCAGATCTCACCAGGAAAGGAGGGTTGAAATGCCAAAGGGCTACAAAAGTGCAGGGTAAACTGGAAATAGACTAGCCTGGCTTCATGACCTAAATTCCTTAAGGTAACCTTGGATTGCCAGTGACTCTAACCCTCCGTTTGAAATGCTCAGACGTTTCTGTTTTCCTGATCATTAAGATTCCTTAAATTTATTTCAGATGTAAAATCCCATTTTAACAAAAAACAACTAAAATCACAGAAGTAAAATAAATTTAAGCTTGACATTCTTAAATATAGAACTGTTTCCAGAAAAACTGTACAAACTAAAACAAAGCCACATAAACAACTGTCACGGAGTATTTAAAGTGCAAAACATGAAACCTCTATAGATTATTGGTTTCCCAGAAAAATTAAAAGGGAAATTATCAATTAATTGATACAAATATCACAACTTTATGCATACTATTTTTATTTTTAAAATGTGTTAGTCCTACCCTAGCTGGTTTTGCTCTGTGGATAGAGAATCAGCCTCTGGACTGAAGGGTCCCGGGTTCGATTCTGGCCAATGGCATATGCCCGGGTTGTGGGCTCGATCCCCAAAATGGGGCGTGCAAGGGGCAGCCAATCAATGATTCTCTCTCATCATTGATGTTTCTCTCTCCCTTCCTCTCTGATATCAATAAAAATATATATGTATGTTTTAAAATGTGTTAGTCCCTCCTTGGCCAGTGTGGTAGAGTTGGTTAGAGCGTCATGCCATGTACTGAAGGGTCGTGGGTTCGATTCCCAGTCAGGGGACATGCCCAGGTTGTGGGTTCAATCCCCAATTGGGGTGTATATGGGAGACAACTGATCGATGTTTCTCTCTCACATCAATGCTTCTCTCTCCTTCCTTCCCTCTCCCTAGAATCAATGAAAAACAATCCCAGGATGAGGATTAAAAAAAAAAAAATGTGTTAGTCCCAACACTCATGATTATCTATAAAATTCAATCAACAGCAACTAGTATAACTTTCTTTATGCAAGTATCATCCTAATTTTAAAGAAAGAATTTTGTTTATTTTAACAATTACCCTGAAACATGCTAAATAGCAATAGGATAGTGGAAACTGGAGCACATTTTTAATGCCATTTCAAAAATCAGAGGGTAGAAACTTTGCACTGTGACTACTGCCAAGTTCCATTTATACAAGAATACCTACATCTAAAGTCTTCAAACTATAATGTTTTTAGCTATGTTGAAAATGAGGATAAATGCATGATATAATGGGTTAAATACAATTAATTATCAGGAAATCAAAAAGAGCCTTTGAAGAAATATAAATAACAGTATAACTGGAATTGTTACTATAAAGATTTTTTTTAAAGCCATACTTAACTGAACTAATGTTTTTTATTTTCAAAAAAACAGTTTAAGAGTTGGGACAGCATCTTCGGCTGTATCACAAACATTTCAGTCATAATGCTGGACACACACAGGAGGCAAAGTTACCTGGAGAATGGAAGATGGGAAGAACTAATGCCCTATAATGCACCGTTCCTCAGAATATAGTCTTGAAACTATCTGCACTACATTTACCTCGGATGTTGGTTGCGAAAGCCGATGTATAAAGCTCAGAATTCTCACCTATTAATATGCATCCCCTCAAGGTAATTTCAGCCCATGACATCAGTCACACCAGACAAGTTGTGATGGACCCCTCTCTTTAAGCAGACATATGTTTACCAGTTAAGAGTAAAATTCAATTAAAGTAGGAGGCAGGGAATGTAAGAGGAGAGAGGAACGGGGAGAAAGACAGCATTTCACTTATCTGGGACCTCATTTTTCTTTCCTTTGCACATCCAACACAAATATTCCACACAAAATACCGACTACTTCATTTCTAGTCAACATGAACTTCAAAAAGGAATTAAGACTGTGGGAATCATTTGAAAAAGCAGCTAGTAGGGAAAACTTAAGAATAATTTTAAACCACATATATCTTTTTTTAGAAACTTTAGAACTAGGGTGCTGTGACTTAAGTGAAGGGAGTTCTCATATTACCTTTTATTGTACACTACCCACAAAAATAAATGTCTTGAGGCAGAGTTGTGATTAGAAGTTTGATGACCAAGTCCAGAGCCCTTTCCACAAAACCACATCTTTACACTTAAAAGTATTCTAGGTATGAGATATGGACGAAGAGATAAAACACTGAGTATTGTTACAGAGATAAAATAAGCTTAAATTGCTATAACAAAAATACCCAAAAATGCAGGGTTCAGTCACTACACAAAAGAAGTGTAGCCAAAACTGGTTTGGCTCAGTGGATGGAGCCTTGGCCTGCGGCATGAGGGGTCCCAGGTTCGATTCCGGTCAAGGGCATGTACCTGGGTTGCGGGCACATCCCCAGTGGGAGATGTGCAGGAGGCAGCTGATCGATGTTTATCTCTCATCGATGTTTCTAACTATCTCTCTCCCTTCCTCTCTGTAAAAATCAATAAAATGTATTTTTTTTAAAAAAGAAGTTTAGCTACCATCAAACAGTCTAGGGCAGGCATGCCAGGGTGAGAGACTCCATGCAATCATCCAGAAACCGAGGCTGACCACTCTATTTCAACATGTGGCTTCCAAGGCCACGGATCTGCTGTCATTCCATTCCAGGACCCACCCTGCAACATGGAAAAAGGTCAGTGTGCGTGGAAGAACACATGTAGAAGGAGAACTCCTGCTTACACTTTACTGGAGATAAATTAATCATATGGCCACATCTAGATGGAAGGAAGGCTGGGAAATATAGTCCACCTATGTGACTAGGATGTGTGGAGAAACACTGGCTGGTTACCTCACGCATACACCCGAACTGGGGACCAAACCTGCAATCTGAGAATGTGCCCTACCCTGGAATTGAACCCATAACCCTTCAGTGCATGGGATGATGCTCTAACCACTAAGGAACACCACATGGGTACTACCATAGTTTTTTGTTTATTTCCATTTTCATGAAAAATCTTTTTCCATTCATTTACTTTTAGTCTGTGTGTGTCTTTCCATCTGAAGCAAGTCCCTTGCAGATAGCATATGTAAGGGTCTTTTTTGTTTAACCATTTAGCCACTATATGTCTTTTGATTGGAGCATTTAATCTATTTATTTGCATTTAAAGTAATTGTTGATAAGTATGTATTTAACACCATTATTCATATAATTTACTGTATCCTTACTTAAGGATATATTTTATTGATTTTAAGAGAGGGAGAAACATTGATGTGAAAGAAACATCAATCGGTTGCCTCCCATACACACCCCAACCAAGGATCAAACCCACAACCTAGGTATGTGCCCTGATCAGGAATCAAACCCACAACCGTTTGGTGTGCAGGACAATGCTCCAACTAACTGAGCCACCTAGCCAAGGCATTCATATTTTTTTATCTTTTTCTTCTTCTTCTTAAAAACTGTTTACTATGTCTCACTGGTGGTGATGAATTCCTTTAGCTTTTTCCTTTTTCTTGTCTGGGAAGACCTTTATCTGACCTTCAATTCTAAATGAGAGCTTCGCTAAGCAACAATCCCCACTGGTTTTTACTTTTCTGGGCACTGGAACCCTGGTGGGTGAATCCTGGTGTGGGACAGAACCCCTCGTTCCTTAGTGGGAGCCTCCCGATTTTTAACCACCACATGTGGCATGGAACCAGCCAATTCTGTGTTTCTGTCCCTACCACCAGTCTCAATTTGGCTTCTTCTTTATATCCTTAATTATAGAACTTTTGTTCAGCTAGATAGATTTCAGGCTATTCTGAATGATGCTCATTCTGTAGTTTACTTGTAATTTTGATGTGGTCGTGGAAGTACCGCATTTATCTACACTGCCACCTTGAGCAGAAGCCCCTTGAGGTTTGATACAGACAGTCCTCGAGTTACATCAGACTCGACGTACGTCATTTCGTGGTTACGTCACCATTTCCCATCCTATCTAATAAAGGAGGAATATGTTAATTGACCATCACGCCGTTGCAAAGATGGAGGCGCCCACAGCCAACGAGGGAATATGCTAATTGACTACCACACCCTCAAAGATGGCAGCGCCCACAGCCAATAAGGAGGAAATATGCTAATTGACTGCCACACCCTCAAAGATAGTGGCGCCCACAGCCACAAGATGGCAGCACCCAGTCCCTTCAGTCCCGCCGGGGCAGCAGGGGCCGGGCCACTCCTCACGCCTGCCTCCAGAGTCCCCCAGTCCCCTCAATCCCCAAGCCGCCCAGGGCCAGCCCAAGGTGCAGGCAAGCCTCGGATGTTGGCTGCCCAGCCGCCCAGGGCCACCTGAGGCTCAGGTAACCAGGGCCGGCTGAGGCTTGCGCTGCCAACAGTGGCAGCAGCAGAGGTGTCATGATGGGGCATCGCCTTCCCCTGATCGCCGGGTTGCCTCCTGCCCCTGAGGGCTCCTGGACGGTGAGAGGGGGCAGGCCAGGCTGTGGGACAGCCCCCTCCAGTGCATGAATTTTCATGCACCGGGCCTGTAGTTTATTTATAAAAAAAAAAGTTCCATCATTTCGCTGTATGTACATATATGCTTTATGTGTTTGTTTGTTTTTATTTACCACAAGTAAAGATCAGGAATTGTTTTCTTTCTTTTAATTTTTTTTACTGTTTCACTTCATTGCTGTGTATGTGCTCCATGTGAGTGACGTAGGTGCTTATGTAGGTGGGTTCCAACTTACCGCAAAAATCGTGTTATGTCGCGCCATAGGAACGAATCTCCAAAGTAACCCAAGGACCTACTATATCTCGTGAGTCAAATATCAAAGTAGTTATGTTATTAATTTCATCTTTTTACCTGTATTCAGGCTGACGACTTCCAGAATGATCATCTCTTGTCCACTTATAGTTAGATTCATCCTGTAAAATAAAAAGTTAGATATTTGTGTTATTTTGATCACATAGAATATATCTAACAGTAGTACTAGGAACCTAGTCTCTAAGACCAAAATAATATGAAGACAAAACACCTTTCTAAATTTCTCTGAGGCTAAAAAGCATAAAATAAAAATATACAAATCATCCATTTCAACAACTAAATTAGTAATAAACTGAGAATCTGTGATACATTTATTTCAATGAAAATGCTTAAATATTTATCTGGTAGACCCTAACAGTCTTACTGCCAAGGACATATATACCAACATAACAATAGCTAAGGGCTGTTCAAGAACAAAGGCTCAATTTAAATTTAATTAAGTAGATGTTTATTGGCCTTTCATTTTATTCGTATGTCAAGTTATCTCATCAATTTTCAAGCTCAATAAGAAATTTAGTACTTTCCCACTTTTCTCTCAAGTTTTCATTTCTCATCTTACCTCCTATTAAATTTGGAAACAAGAAACCACCCTTGCTGATAAGCTATGTTAGAGCTAAATGTGGCACTAAGTTTGAAATTAATCAAAGAAAGCAAATACATTGTGTCCTCTAAGATAGACACATTTGAAAAGGTTCATAAAAAAAGAAACACATAATAATCCACACCCAATTAATTTAAAATGATACACAGAACAATACAACATGTGAATTACTTACAATCAGAAACAATGATTCAGCTAAATAAATACTATTTTCATTTCCTTTAGCATCACAGACTCTGCTCTTATATAAAGTCTATTCATCATTTTTCTTCACAACATTAAATATAAACAAAAGAAAAAACTCAACAGCTATAATTAAATATTGGATCAAGTAAGTAGTTTGCATTATATGACTGAAGTCTAGAAAAGAATCAGTGTCATAAAAGTCCTAAGAATCTCGAGTGGGCTTATTTGTTTGAAGAGAATTTAAAGAGGAAATGTTGTATACAGTATAAACACTATTTATATCAATAGAAAAAATTATTGCTGAGGCACTATTATGCTACAAGGTTTTAGAAAAAAATCATGTTCATGAGGATTCAAATACAAATTGGTCCATTAAATCCAAAATTCCCTCAACACAGTAGCAAATGGCCACAGGGTTTTCACAAGAGGGTTAACAACTTTATGCAAAGATCAAATTGTTTCTTCCTGAGACTACCTGGAATAAGGGCTCTGGTGGCAAAATTCAGTATTTCTAGGATAGGGATAATGCATATTTACTTTTCAAAATGGAATCCCTCTTCTTAAGGAAGAGCATGACATGTTAAAGTTAAATAAAATAAAAATTAATTCTATGAGAAGGAAACCCTAAAACTCCAAACTTTCAAAGCAAACGTAAGAAAACACTGAATAGTCTCATTATCACTATAGAATTTTCAGCGCAACCATGACATGGCAGTGAGAGAACTGGACTCCCATACGTATACCCACCCTAGGTAAGTCACCTTACCTCCATTTCTTCAAGTGAAAAGTACAGAAACTAATTCCAACAGCAAATGTAAGGTCAAATTTTATCATAAGAAATGCTTAAATAGGTACTGTCAACTACAATATTATACAATAGGGAAGGGGAAAAAGAGATAATGTAGGAAAATGGCCTAGCAGAGGAAACATGCAAGCTACATTGAAGAAATTGCATCAAGGAATATTTTCAATCAAGTTCAATGACATATTACTGCAACATTAAATACATAGTTTTATATTATTAAAGATGATCACAAAAAACGATATAACAGCAGTCAAAATAGTAATGATATCAGCCAACATTTTAAAAGTGCTTACTATGGGAAAGGCGATGTTTTGAGTGCTTTCTAATCTGAATTAGTAAATAAATTTTAATAATAACTATAGCAAAAATGAAACAGAGACTCAACCTTAACCCAACCTCACCCACAGCATTTCATCATGCTAAAAATAAGCAAAGTAATTATAAGTGGGCACATTTGTAAGAGATGGTAACCACTTGGTCATCACTTACTGAGTACCAAGGGAACAGATTACCTGTAACTGCTTCTGCAAATCCCTGATGATGTGGCCTAGTTGGAATTGATGTCATTTAGGTAAAGCTCTCCAGAGTGCTTACCCACTTTGTCCAGCACCCCAAGATTCTTCACTACCAGTTCCCATTTGACAGCTCCAGCAGGCAATTCAACAGAGCATCAAGCAGGAAGTGTTTATTCAACTGCCTTCATGTCCAGTCACATAAATTTTAAAAATTACATGACTTTTAAACTTATAAAAAAAGTAACAATTAGTACATGGGGTAAATTTACATACTCCTCTGTGAGGTGGACCACTTCTTCGACCATGAGAAAAACTGCGGCCCTCGTCATAGTCTCGGTAATCAACATGACTGTAATATCTACTGTAGCCTCCTTCACCCGGTCTGTCTAGCAGTGGTGGTCTCTTTGTCACAATATTAACTACTCTATGGTAGCCATCCTAAAACAGACAAAAAGAAATATACAACAATCACTAATTTCTCTATTTGGTTTTGGAAAGGTTTCAAAAAAGCACAGGAGATCTTATCCTTAATCAAATAAAGTAAATGTATAAACAAACAAAAATGCTTTAATGAAATAACATGAATGTAACTAACAGTACGGTCTTCACATGGATTAAAGGAAATAAAATCGTTCAATGAAGAAAACCAGGTGTTTAACATGCAGCAATGCAGAAAACCATAAGTAAAAGAAAAATATTGTTTTAATAATAAATAAACTACAGAAAATAATTGTGTTACAATAACTCTAATCTCTAATTGCCTAGGAATTTTAGGAATAAAATCATTTAAGATAACATACATCCTTGGTCTATTGTTAAGGTATACTGTTCATAAGAAATGCAAGACTTTTCTACACATTACCAACAGCAAATAGGGAGATAATACTGAGGTAGGAAGAGCAGGAGGAAACATTTTGCTATCTCTCCACAGCTCTGGACTTCATAGGTTTGGACACAAAAGAAAACCCAATGTAAAATTTGAATGAATTTTCAAAGTAATATGTTGTTAACGTTTTAAAGCAGCGGTTCTCAACCTGAGTCGTGACCCCTTTGGCGGTTGAACAACCCTTTCACAGGGGTCGCCTAAGACCATCCTGCATATCAGATATTTACATTACGATTCATAACAGTAGCAACATTATAGTTATGAAATAGCAACGAAAATAATTTTATGGTTGGGTCACAACATGAGGAACTGTATTTAAAGGGCCAGAAGGTTGAGAACCACTGTTTTAACGTTTTAGCAACTGAATGGGTTATTTGTGGGGGTTATGAAATTGGGCAGAGGGAGAACAACACTGGTCTTAGATTAGTAGCTGCTGTGAAGTAACTGAACAAAAATGATGATCAACAGTAAAAACTAGAAATACAGAGCACATATCTGTAAGTAATCTGCTCTTGAGCACTAATGCTAACTTTCTATCAATATTAGGTGAGATAGAGGTGGAAGAAACTGGTAAGCTATCACAGTGTGTAAGACATGATCAACTAGTAAGTTAACTAATTTAACAAAATAAAAAAACAAAACATAAAGCCCAACATTCAAAGCTGGATACTTTACCTTACTAAACCTCAGTTTCATTATTTGTAAAATTAGCTTAATACCTACCTCATGAGGTTGGTGTGAGGGCTAAATAAAAAACAGATTGTAAAGCATTTAGCACAATAGTATAAACTAAGTGCTCAAAGAATGTTTACTATTTACGTAAGTCTACGTGAAGCACTAAATTTTTTTAATTGTCTATTTCTTAAATTGCTTCTTAGCATTGGTAACTACAACTATTCAGTTAATAAGTTATTACATCCTATTCAAACTTCCCAAAGGGTAGGAAATTTGTTAATGTGCTTGGAAAAAATAAAATCAGTAGTTCATATCTACCTGACAGCTAAAATATCTAACTAATTTTTTTCCAAGGTGGTTTCCTTCTTTAGTATGTTAGATATTAAATTATAAGAAACATTTTATATGTTTGCATCAGACATACTAAACAGCCTAGCTGGTTTGGCTCAGTGAATAGAGTATCTACCTGTGGATAGGGTCCTGGGTTTGATTCCAGTCAAAGGCACATGCCAGGTTGCGGGCACATTTCCAGTAGGGGATGTGCAGGAGGCAGTCGATTAATGATTCTCTCTCATAATTGATGTTTCTATCTCTCTCTCCCTCTCCCTTCCTCTATGAAATCAATAAAAATATATTAAAACAACATAGTACACAGATTAATTTATTGAGTTTGTTCTAAACACTATCTTCCACAGAGCTTTCAATTAAATCTAAGCAAATGCTAATCTTCCAAAAAATGTCATTAAGCCGAAATTAGTAACATTACAAATTATAACATTTTCTAATTCAAAACATATTATTCAAAATGTTAATTCAAAATTTGTTATAAAAGTAGAATTACTGATTTCTCCAGTTTTAAGAAACCATGAAATTCCATCCCACAATATCCTTATTTGTTGGAACATGCTTATTTGGAGGATGGTGAGTGCATATGCCTAAACATTTCTACAAATGGAGAGAGAGCTTCTTCCTAAGCAGCCTATCCCTTTGTTCAACTCCCCCAGTTACTAGAAAATTATTTCAGGATTTTAAAATGTGTATGGGCCCTAACCAATTTGGCTCAGTGGATAGAGCGTTGGCCTGTGGACTGAAAGGTCCCAGGTTCAATTCCAGTCAAGGGCATGTACCTTAGTTGCAGGCACATCCCCAGTAGGCAGTGTGCAGGAGGCAGCTGGTTGATGTTTCTCTATCATTGATGTTTCTAACTCTCTATCCCTCTCCCTTCCTCTATGTAAAAAATTAATAAAAAATATTTTCAAAAAATAATAAAAAATAAAATGTGTATGGTAAAATTTTCAAAGAAGTAACACTAGAATCACATTTAGTTACATATTTAACAAATGGTTTTTACCAAATAATAAATGGGGGGGGGGACAACTCCTAATAACAGCTCTTGTATCAAGCAATAAAAATCAAACTGTTTCCTGTTTTGAGAAAGTGTTCAAATCTAAGTACATTATAGCATTTCTGCTCTGTAGGCATCTAATCTTAAAGAAAACTCCCTAGCTATATGAAAAGATTTAAGGAAATGAAGATGACTATATGAGTCTGTGATAAAGCAAAAATATTTTCAGAGACAGTTCATGCCTTATCTAGGTACAACATTCATGGATTTCTCTTTCTTTCTAATAAAATCCATGATGAGTGACAAAGATTTCAGAATTTCTCTTTCAAAAGCTTATACTAAAAAAGTTCAAATAGTACTTTTCGTTACCTGCAATGCCAGACCTGAATGAAAATATCATCACTCTTTGAAATTCCTGTACAAATCTTACAATAAACTATATACATGTAATTTTCCTCTCTAAATGCTAGCAAAAGTACACAAGGCTTCAGGACTGGTATGTTTGGAACCTTCATTTTAGAAATATCTTAGAAAACAATGGCACCATTACATACAAACCAAAAATAAAAACTAGAACTTACAAAGTAAAAAAAGGTTTTTGAGGATAAAAGGGATCATTTTTCAATTAACTAAAAATGAACTCAATGAAATTCTTAGGCTGGATACAGATTATGAGGATTACTATTTCTTTGAAATTACTTATTCTCCAATGTCAATCAAATATATTTTGCACACAATTTAACACAAAAATATTTAAAATAAAAATTTTAATGCATAAGCACCCTCTTTTAGCATGCTTATCTTTTAGAGATACACAATGAAATATTTATTTGCATTTGAAATATGGTATCTTGGATTTACTTCTAAATAATCCGAGAAAGAGAAAAGCAGTGAAGGCACAGACAAAACAAGATTAACCTTGAGTTTTGATAATTGCACTTACAGAAACCTTATTTTGTCTTATTCACTGCTCTGCTCTATTCCCACCAC